ACGCTTAGTGCCATAGTGAACTACCTGACGCAGCTTCCAAGGATGGTTCTAGATGGTTCCATAAAGTTCCCGAAGGAGCCCTCGGATATAGCTCGCAAAGTCTTCGCAGACCCGATCGTTAGCGACTTTCTGATTCGTTCCTCGCGCCTGGCAGTGTTTTCTAAAGAGCTGGCCAAATCCTTCAGAGGTGATCTTGATGCGCTTGCCGTTATTAAGCAACTCAAGTTTTTCTACAACTTACCAACTGTCGCTGTGCTTCAGCAGTTTGCGAAACTCGTTGCAAGGTCAGTGCTTTAATTAACCTTTTATCGATAAATAATTATTAAGACCAGTCTGGCGGAATTCGAAATATGTCGACGACGGCTATCTTACAATGCAAGCGCAATGCACCAGTCGCGCAAGCACTATGAACAGATCTCTCATGAGGTAGCTGGGTTTTAACTGGCGGGACAAGAGTAGGGTGTAGTGCAACTAGACTCTTCCCAATTCCTATTGTGGCGTAACAGCCTAGACGCGTGGAATTAAGCAATTGCACGCGATAAATCCCTCCAGCTACGCAGGCTACACATGAGAGGAATTAAACCTTTACTGTTAATTTTGTTAGCCTTTCCTCACTCCGCTATTTAGGCCATTGCAAACAATATTTATTACCTTCAGTAATCCTTTTACTGGAACACAGGAGGCTGCAATGGTCCTTCAGAGCTCTGCTAGTTAGACCGATTGTACTGGTATAGGAGTTGTTGAACCCAGCTGAAACACTGGTTATTTTCCTCGGACTGGCGCCCTCGTTTCCCTCATCTGGCGGGTTCACCGCTCAACATTCGCTCGCCTTTACTCCCCTCGGTATATCTGAAGAAAAAGAGAGACAGCGTGCATGCAGTCTTGTTTTCACACAGCAGCGAGAACCATTTTTTTTAAATTACTGACATTATCATTAACAGATGACAACCGTATCTTTCCATAGAACGGATAATGTAGAGGCAACGAATAAATGGAACAGCATCATTGAAAAGATTGCAGCTTGCGGACTCGGTTCGATGACTTTTCGTGTTTTACTCCAAGAAATAGAAGGTCCAGTTACGATAGACCTATTGCGACTTATGGAACTCCTTCGTCTGGGTGTGCGTCATATAGGATGTAGTTAAATAGCGTGGACGCTCCCGATGCACAACCGTTTTGGGCTACGAAGGCACTAACTTTCATGGTAGAGCCTTTCTCTCACAACTACTATTAAAATTGTCAATGGTGTGCTGAATCCTGCCAATCATGAGCTAAGGAATATTTACCAGGCCCTTGGAAGGTATACCATCCTACGCGACCCCTATTGCATTTTGTTCTAAGATAAAAACTTACTTACTTGACGTAGTTTGAACGGTTTTTTAATTGTGCTTAGTGTATAAGGTAGCGGTATTTACCTTTTATTTTAGAGTAGTCCTTTTGGAAAGATGATTACCTCACACCATTATTCAGTAGCCAATCACAAGCAAAGAAGACCATCAAGTATTGCACCCATGCGCATGGCGTCGGCTATGTCTTTTTCTTTTCTTGTTTGTTTTTTTACTTCAGGCTGGTTTTTAGGCACTTAACTGAGTCAACCTCTATTTTGCCAAATGTAGCACGATATGGTTTTCCCCTGCCCACAACCGTCCCTTATTGTTGTTTTTAGCAACCATAGCATGACATTATGTTTTAATGGCAGTTAAAAAACAAGGTGATTCAACATTACAGTCCCCTTTCTTCATTTTCTTTAGATGCGTCGCTGTTGTTGACGACAAAGTGGAGAAACTCTACGGCAACGCACTTCAAGCCTACTTCGACCGGTACAACATCGAGCTGTGCAAGCTGGTTTTCTCCGGGAATGAAGCCAACAAAGATGTTTCAACTGTGGAAAATATTCTTGTGTCGTTGAAAAGGAAGCGCGTCTCCAGAAACGAGCCGGTGCTGGTGATTGGCGGGGGTGTAATATCAGATGTCGCTGGCTTTGCCACGGCACTGTATCACCGAAACACCCCATACGTTATGCTCTGTACGAGCATCGTATCTGGAATTGACGCCGGACCCTCCCCTCGCACCTGCTGTGATGGCTTTGGCTTCAAGAATCTGTACGGAGCATACCATCCCCCTGTGCTTACACTTACAGATAGATCATTCTTCCGAACCCTTCATCATGGTTGGCTGAGACATGGCATCGCTGAAATTGTCAAAATGGCAGCAGTGAAGGACGAAAGTCTCTTTAACTTGCTGGAGAAAGGATCCTCTGCTCTAGTGTGGACAAAATTTGGCACCGAGATGGAAGATTTTAATGGTGATCATACAGAATTTGGAAAGCTGTGTGACTCGATCATTGGGAAAGCTCTTGAAAGGTAAGTGTCTTAACTTTCGTCTTCCCATCGGAGGGGGAAACAGCTTCGACTGGCTACTAAGGCTTCCCGTGACAATACCCTGAACTTCTGGATGAGTCACCTTGGGCCTAATTGCCATTACATATGCATGCGGTGAAAATCTTGTAAAGTCCAGTAATCCATAAGAAAGCTACGGAAGAACTTTTTTGCTGCCTTTTACCATGCTCAAGAAAGTGGTGCGTGGATAAGTTCATTATTCATTTTATTGTTAGGCAATAGTTAATGGTCAATTGTCTTGGGTATTTTTCAGCTACGTGATATCTGAATACGGAAACCTTTGGGAAACGCACCAGTGCCGTCCACATGCCTTTGGTCATACATGGAGCCCTGGGTACGAGCTGCCAGCCGGCATGCTCCATGGCCACGCTGTATCGACTGGAATGGGATTTGGGGCTTATCTTTCTTTCTGCGAGGGCTGGACCACTCGGGCTGAACTTGATCGCATCTTGACCCTGCTGAGTGATCTTGAGTTGTCCTTGTGGCACCCAATCATGCAAGACGTGCAGCGCATCTACGGTTCTCAGGAGAAAATGATCGAAAAACGTGGAGGTAATCTCGCAGCCCCTGTTCCCAAGGGCATTGGCAAGTGCGGATACATCAATCACCTACCTTACGAGCTCCTTGTCATGCGCCTTCAAGAGTACCTGAAGATCTGCCAAGGTTACCCCAGAGGAGGCCTGGGAGTAGAGGCACACTGCAGGGATGTTGGATTAGAAGACCCGACAGAGGGCAGCGTGAATCAGGCACTTCCCGAGGTGCTCAACGGGTACGAAAATGGTTATCATGACGACACGAAAGACAAAGATCTGCCAATCCACGACATCCTCGTAAGCAATGGCCATCCAGAACTACACGATGGGTATGAAAAAGATTTTCAGCCAGGCGAAAAACGTAAGGAGCTGTCGTACTCTGAATGGATCGAAGCTGTACAGAAAAAGAGAACAAAGAACATTCCTTCCCATGTCGCCTTTGAACAAGCTGAAGATACACCAAAGCCACCCGTTTTCAAGCCCAACGAATTGTGCCATCCAGGTAAATATACGTCAGGCAATGTAAACGATATCCGGCCTCTCAGTTAGTGCCGTTTTCTGATGATCGGAAGTTCTTAATATCTTGGGTTGTCATCCAAACATGGTCTAAAAAAATTATAGATACAATCCAGGAGCGGGAAAAATCCAGGAATTATACTCTAGTTCGAATAAATTATTTTCTTTTCAAAGTTAACAAAAAATAAAATTGTATACTTTAAATGTTAACCAGGTGAACATAGCATTCGAATATGATACCTTGTAATAGAAAAGTCACTTCTTGTAGAATTTAATTTATCCTTACATTTTATCAATTACAAATGGCAAAAATGAGATTAAAGGACAAAAAAAATCAAGCCGAACTAAAAAGTACTCTTTTTTCTCAAGGTGTTGAAGACTACGCTATCAAGATGACTCAGATTCCAAGTCTAGACATACAGAAGATTGCCCTCGCTACAGAGGACCAAGAAATGTTCACGCCATGTATGGTAGGACAGCTGGAAGCACAGTTCCTAAAGATGATGGCGCAACTGGCCAATGCTAAGAGGGTACTTGATGTGGGTACGTTTACTGGGATGTCTGCCATGGCGTTCGCTGAAGGGCTACCATCAGATGGTGAAGTAGTGACCATTGAATTCGACCCTAAGATAGCTTCAGTCGCTGATCAGTTGTTCCGCAGTTCGTCACAGGCACACAAGTTAACTCTTAAGGCAAGTTTTGCACGTCGTTAACACTTCACGTTTGCACATATCGCTATATCTTGCAATCTACGCAACTTAACCACTTTCAGCTCCAGCGATAACAATAATTCACATGATAATTTGTCTTTTTCTCAATAGTTTTTAATCGGCTTAAGGCGATTCATCCATCCATTGATCAATCAGCCCATATAGACATATAGCGTATTAATTAGAGATCCATCCATCCATCGAGCCATCCATTTATCCTATACTGTTCTGTTCACCCACCAGCCCGTTCACCCTTAATTACTACCCATTCATTCGCCCTTACAAATTGGTACTCGTTCACTCGATCCTAGAGCTATTCATTCATCATTTTTATCTATTTTATTTAATAATTATTTTTTTCAATTTAATTATCCCATTAAATGTTCCATTAGGTTGGAGATGCCGTTAGCGTCATGCATGAGCTTAATTCCGCGGATGAGAAGTTCGACATTGTGTTCTTAGACGCATCCAAGGATCAGTACACCTCCTACTACAAGATCGCTCTTGACATGCTTACACCCTCTGGCTTCATCATGGCGGACAACTCACTGTGCGCGCTGCTTTACGATGAAGATGATTCCAGAAGACAGGCCTTACATGAGTTCAACCAGATGATCAAGAATGACAAGCGAGTAGAACAACTAGTGGTGCCTTTCAGGGAGGGCGTGTCTATTATTAGACCCAAACAATATCTGTGAAAGAGACATTATTTAATTATATTCTGTATATTCAATTCTTTTGAGGGTCAAGAGATAATAAATAGCATTAAATTACTGAACTGCGGTTATCATTTACTTTTGTTAAGGAACTTTGCAAAGCCCTGTCTTACAGTTATCAATTTACCTCTTATCACTCCATCCGGTACAGTCGACTCCCGAGAACTCGAATCTTCTAAGGAAATCGAAAAAAGTTCGAGTTATCTTCGGATAGTAGTGTGCGCCGCGAAGGAAGACAGCGAGACCATCCCCTCGTTGCTTTTTTTTTTCTGCTCACATCTCTTGTGACTGTCCCCACGATCTGAACGTCTGGAACAAGCTATGAGTTATCGGGAGCTTGAAGCAAATAACCGGGAATAAGCAAATAAGCAAATGGATGCCGAGGACTGTGCACGTATCACGCACAATTCACTTCAAGGGCAGCAAGAGATATAGATTAACATTTTGAAAAAGGAATTAGGAATCAAGGGTTGATAAATATACTGGGATGGACACTGGATTTGAAATACAGTGACAAAAAATTTGCGTGATAAAGTCAGTGTTTCGGTCTTCAGTACACATTTTTTTTTCGACTTGTTACTCGCTTAAAATATGGTTCGAGTCATCGAGGGTAGAATTATATAGAAATGATCTGAAGGGAAACAAACATTACTTCGAGTTAGAGCGAGGTTCGCGTTATCTAGGGTTCGAGTCATCGAGGGTCAAATTGCAGTAAATGTAAGAAGGAAATTCAGGGGAAATCGACTTTGGTTCGAGTTAGCGCGAGGTTCGAGTTAGTGAGGGTTCGAGTTGTCGGCAGTCAACTGTATTTGCAGCTTTGACTACGAAAACTCTCGGACAGGTACCACCTAGCGAATAGTGGTTGTTTCGTGTGAGCATGGCTCTTAGGCGGTTGTTATGACTACCTGTGTCTAAATTTCCCGAACTGAGTTCAGATAAATTCCTGCTTACTTGGCTTTTCACCGTCCCCACTATTTAAATACCTGGAACTGTCTAGCTGACTGCATGTTGATTATTATGTATAAATTAATGAAATAAGTACATAAATTAATTAGATATGTCAACTTCTTAGGCTTGGGTAAGCCTAGAAATTCATACCCGATTAGGCGACTGAAAAATGCTGTACCGTAAGTCAAAGACAAAATATCTGTTCTCGGGTCTCTGAAATTGTTTTACTAACTGTATAAACGAAGAACGAAGAGTATTTTTCACTGGATCATAGAACGCATGAAACCTTCGCGTTCAAACAAGCGTTCTGGCATGGCTGCTGAGCCTTTGAAAACGTCTCTTTCAGTGAACCTCCGTTTTGATCGCGTCTGAGTAGACACAGGCCAAAAACACATAAAAGGTCACCCATTCGTTTTTAAATACATATTAGTATTACTATAACTGTCTGCGGACCGTTTTTTTAAGAGTTATAAAAATAGTAAATTATCCTGGGATGCTCGAGCAGGTCTGGTCTACTCCATAAGCAGGCGCGATCGGCCGTCACGTTGTCGAGAAAAGGTCATCACGTTTTAACCTGAACCGCACTTGCCTATAAGCTCGCTTATAAGCCTTCCCCCATAGTATAAGCCCCCCTAGTTACAGTCCCTTTTTACGTAAATAAAAAATACATCCGTTTATAAGCCCTCCTAACCCCCCTTAACCCTTTAAGTCCCAATAGTGACCAACAACAATTTTCTCCTATAACAATGTCCATACATTGTCAAGAGATAAGGTTGTGAGAATATAAAAAATGATCATGAAAGAGAAAATGCCGTGATGTTTTATTAAATTCCCTCAACTAATTCTTAAAGGAAATGTATGGAGATCAGTTTGGAGAATTTGTATGTGGATACTGGGGCTTAAAGGGTTAATAGAGGTTCTTACGAAGATGTATTAGCCCAGGGATTATTTGAAGCAGCAGTTTACAGTATGCAAAAGACTGATTTTTTAAGTACACAATTAAGAAACACAAGTTTGCTCGTTAGATATTGCACGAAAAGTTTCTAAATCTGTTTTAGATGGTCATTAAGGTATCCAAAAATAGGATGGAGAATAGAATAGTATGGAATCGCTGCGACCTGTTTATTGACTTGTTTGGCATATTAGTTTCGTGTAGGCTTCTAAAACTGGTTAAAACCGGTTTTGATAAACTGGTTCTGATAAACCTTAGACGTACGCCAAGTTGAGTTGCATCAACTGGATGTTAGTACTTGTACAAGTTAGTCAAGATAAGTTTGACTGACCCGAGAAAGCCAAAGCTACCCGCTTTCAAGCCCAACGAATTGTGTCATGCAGGTAAATATAAGAATTGTGGTGTAAATAATATCCAACCATTTTAATATGTGAAGATTTGCAAGAAATATGATGATAAGATCAGTCCAGCAACACATTGTACACATACTTCTCGAATTTGATGAGTTTCAATTTATGGTAAATTAAACAGGCCTTTTGTTTTCTTGCGAAACTTGTGAAAAAGTGCCTTGTGAAAACAACTAATTAATTTTTTTATTCTCCAACTATGGAATTTTATTCCAAAATTTTTCAGATTTAGAAAAAGATAATCGAATGAAAAAGTTACGCAAAATTCAAGCAGAGGAATTTAAAAAGTACCTTCTTCTTTCGAAGGTGTTGAGGCCTACGCTGCAAAGATGACGCAGGTTCCAAGTTCAGATATACAGAAGATTGTCCTCGCTACAGAGGACCAAGAAATGTTCACGCCATGTATGATAAGACAGCTGGAAATACAGTTCTTAAAGATGATGGCACAGCTGACCGATGCTAAGAGAGCACTTGATGTGGGTATGTTTACGGGGATGTCTGCCATGGCGTTCGCTGAAGGGCTGCCATCCGACGGTGAAGTAGCGACAAATGAATTCGACCCTTAGATAGCCCATTCGTCCATCCATCTATCCATCCGTGGATCTGTCCAGCCATCTTTCCGTGTTTATGAGCGCCCAGCCTCGAATAAGCGCCCACCCACCCCACTTCCTCCCACTAAAACTCCAATAAGAGATAATAAGAGACCCTCCCGAAGACGGAGTTTTCTTCAGAGTATTTTGCACAAACCTCGCTTTGTTGCATCTTCGCTTTTTGTAAATAGCATTTACTGTTTTGTGGCAAAACAAATGGGAAAATTTGATAAGCGCCCAGCCTCGAATAAGCGCCCACCTCGAATAAGACAAAAAATTTATTAAGCGCCCAGGACGGTTAATCGAATAAATACGGTATGTCCATCCATCCACCTTATCTACTCTTTCCTATAATATCCATCTTCTAATTGTTCACCTGTAATTCCAAATACCCATTCACGCCTAGCCGATACTCCTAAAGGATTTATTTACCTAGGTATGGTAGTTAATATTTTTTCCGTCTCGGGTAATTTTTATTTTTCTTTTCTTTCAACTTCTCTTTGGCAACATTACCATACTCAGAAAACAAAAGAAAACAAAAATTATACCTGAGATAAAAAAAATTAACTCCACATATATATTTTTAATTCTTTAGTTAGGTTGGAAAGGCTGTAAATGTTATGGATGACCTTAAAACAGCGGGTGAAAAGTTCGACAATGTGTTACTAGATGACCCCAAGGATCAGTACATCCCTTGCTACAAATTCGCTCTTGACATGCTTACACCCTCTGGCTTCATCATGGCGGACAACTCTCGGTGCGCGCTGCTTTACGATGAAGATGATTCCAGAAGACAGGCCTTACATGACTTCAACCAGATGGTCAAGAAAGAGAAACGAGTAGAACAATTAGTGGTATCTTTCAGGGAGGGCGTGTCTATTATAAGACCCAAAAAATATCTGTAAAAGAATTTTTTACATGATATTCTGTATAATCCCTGACCACTGAGGGTCAAAATTAATGATAATAACATAATATAAAAAAGAATGAATTTCCATAATCGGTCTTCTTCTGTAAAATGTTATGTCCTTGCCTTGACTGTTCCCGCGGGTTCCTCCGCCTTATTTGAACAGTATCACTTTATATTTTACCACTCTTCGCGGCACCAATGATAGAGATTTTGTTAATTAGACGTCAACAGGCTTATAAGAACCTATAGACTTCACGAGTAACGTAAAACAAAGAAGTAAACACCATAGAGTCATAGAAAATAAAGCGTACAGAAACTAATAAAAACTTTAAAGGTTGTTGACACACCGAGGTAAACCGCCTTCAAAACAATGCCAATTTCAGCACTGAAGCACACACTACCAACCGTATGGCCAGTACCTTACACATGCGCACAGCCATATCACCCGGGGCAATGGCAGCCGATCTCACTTGCGATCATCTGGCCATACCGCTGAGTTGGTAGTGTGTGCTTCCGTGCTGAAATTGATATTGCTCAAATTATACCACTACATGAGAAAATTCTGCAATTTGATTGGCTTAGAGCAGTAGTATTTCAGCTTAATTTGAAATACCTACATGTGAAAGTTACAAACCTTTTGCGGGTAGTGGTATAAACAAATAATGGCATGATTTGTATGTGGTATTTGGCATAAATACAACTCGTGATATTTCAAAATTGTCTCAAATTTCACTCGCCTAACGGCTTGTGAAATTACGTATAACAATTTCGAAATATCACTCGTGTTATTTATAAACAATTATTGGATGAGGTTTTTCTGATATCCGGAATAATCAAGGTCGAGCCGAGACCTTGATTATTCCGGATATCACAAAAACCGCATCTAATAATTGTTTTATTATACTTTATCTTCAAGTAATTTCTCAATTTCTTGCTGGGTCGATGAAGCGAATCGAGAAGCCATTCTTACCTCGCTGTCCGCGAACTTGACATTGCTGTCCGTGCACTTGACATTACTCTTGGAAATCATGTATTGCGCGAGCAACCTACAGATTATTCACTAATCTGTAGGTACAGATTAGTGAATAATCTGTAGGTTGCGCTTTTTCCCAGAATTAACTGTAGGCTTTTAGCCAATGAGAAGACAGATGGTGACTACAATGTATAATAATCCCAAATATCACTACAAATCATGCTATTACCTATGCAAATGGCATCCCTGACCGAAAGAATTTCCCAAAACTTTGCCCCGCACGTTCTTCCGAACGATCTGACGGCCTCTGGGTCTCCGAGGAAGGAGCCGCTCTGAAGGATCTTATTTTGCCATTTAGCAAGTAAGTAAGTAAGTAAGTAAGTAAGTAAGTAAGTAAGTAAGTAAGTAAGTAAGTAAGTAAGTAATAACTTTATTTAACCACGGAATCCTTATCACTAAAAAGTGGTCTTCTAAAGAGCCGTGCACATTAAACTAAGACTTAAAAATAACAAACATTATTGAAAAAGTCCTATAATAAATGCTTACTAAGAAAATCTTAATGTACAATAGCGGAATAAAAACAATTTAAAGTAGTGGCCTACTTTAGCCTGAGATGAGTTATAAATCAATTAATCATTTATGGGAATCTAAAATTTACTTGTGGAGAGGGTACGACTACACGAAGGCTAAAGCGTGCGCGACCTTAACGAAATGATTTTGGCCTAGCTGAGCTTTTTAGCTATAATTAGTGAAAAGGAACAATATATCCTTTCAACTTAGGTGATCCAATGCTATATACGCACTGCTGAAGACTGCTTTTTGAGACTGGTTAACAGTCCCAGCCAGCGGTTCTATTTGTCGTCAACAATAAACGTAACTGAGAAACTTTTCCAGTGCTTATCTGATGTGTCTTGTAAGTTGTTACATCATTGAAGAAGGCTATAAAGAAAACTGGAGAGATAGGACTTTTCCACTTGAATGATCTGAATGATGCAGCTTTCGAACCAGGTTTGACAAGCAACCGGGGTTCTAGCCTGCGTGGCAGGCGTTCGAAAGAGAAGGGCCGTCAAGGGAATTAGGGCGCGAGACCGCGCGCTTTCTCCCTCGCGCGCCCAATTCTCCATTCCCCTTCCCCTTTTAACGCCTGCCAAGCAGAATACCGGGGTTCGCCGGAACGCCGAGATGAATTTCGCAAGCCCCAAAGCCCTACTAAACCCAGGCTAGTTTGGTCTGTTTGCGGGAGCTTAGGGAAAACTGTGAATACCTTTGGAAATTTTCTAGCTACGCCCCTGATATAATACGTCAACTTCGGCAGAAGCTATCATGTTATCCGATACCGGAATAACAAAATGATTGTTCCACTTTACACAATATAGAGGGTCCAATGGGGCGGTAGGTTTGACGGTCGAAGGTATATTATATCGAATTTTGACGGTTGCGGGTTAAATTGTAGGGCTTTTCACGGTTGACGGTTGTTAAGTGGAAATTTAGTCCAAACGTTTTAAATAAATTTTACCTTCTGTATAAATTCATATAACTGTTGTGTTTTGGAGGTTGTCTTAGCCTTTCACTGATAAAATTTAGAAGTATTTTCACAGTATAAACAAGTTGTGTGTTCTTGTAATGTCTAGAGAGAGCGTTTTGAGAACATGCCGGAACTGGTTTGTCCAGCCTTTAGAGATTCGTCAGGAACCAGAATCCAGTGAAAACAGCTGAAATAGTGAGATCTGAAATACTTTGAAACTTTTTTTACGGTTGACCGTTAAATTTTTTAACTCCATTGAAACCTTCACATACATGTACAGATTTCTCTTGCTAAGGGCGAGGCAACATGGAAATGAGGCTACCAATGCGCAAGCGCGTCGCTGCTTGCTTGCTGCATTTTGTTTATGTACCGTTTCAGCCCACCGTTTCAACCCGTAGCTGGCAGAGTCACGGGAAGGAAAGCTTCCTTAAAAGAGAGAAATCTGGTTCCATCTTGGTCTAACAGAAAGCAGCTTCTGGCCACTACTTACTATCGCACATTTTAAGGTCTGGAGAAGATGGCTAACCAAGATGGAAAGCTGCCGACGGACGAAAGAGTGCTCAAAAGTTAGTGCTTAAATCCTCCTATCTCGTTGAGCGATTCAAGAGCGGTCCATAATAATTGCTGTGGAACGAGCCTCTTTAAGTTTTGTTCTTGTGTTTTTTTTCTTGATCTAGCTGTACCAATGCCGCCGATGGAACGACTTAAGGTGGCGGATGTGTTCGATGCGGACGGGAAACCCAGAGCAGATGTCTTAAAAGGTCATTTCTTGAAGGAGGGAAGAATTGAAGAAGACGTTGCTCTTCGACTCATAAATTCGGGCACCGAACTTCTGCAGGAGGAACCAACAATGCTCGAGGTCGAAGCCCCTATAACAGGTACATGCCACTGGTAATTTAGATTTTACAGGTGTATTTTTTGATAAGTGTGTCAGGTCACAGTCTTATGTGAGCTGTGTATAAGCGTTCGATCGATGTGAACTGCTGATGTAGTGTTCTATTTGTCTTTGTATACGTCTAGTGTGCGGCGATATACACGGTCAGTTCTACGACTTGATCAAGTTATTCGAAGTAGGAGGATCACCAAGTTCCACAAGATACCTCTTCCTCGGCGATTACGTAGACAGAGGTTATTTTTCAATCGAGGTAGGAAAAAGCGAACAACAGTAATCCTTGCCAACCATCGTACGTGTGTTCTTATTTCGCTGTTTCTTATATTATTTGTGCATATCAACAAATGATAACTCCATCTTTTTCTTTGAAGTGTTGTAATTCTTCCTCTTTCTCCTCCTTTGGATAGAGCTATTAGCATTTATCAACTGAGATAGATGTTTCATGTCATCTTCCCCTTGTTTCTTTTGCAGTGTGTTTTATATTTATGGGCGTTAAAACTCCTTTATCCTAACACGCTATTTATGCTAAGAGGGAATCACGAATGTCGACATTTAACGGAGTATTTTACCTTCAAAACAGAATGTAAGTACCTCATTTTCAGTTAAACTAAATTAATAATTTTAACGCTTGTTTTTCCCTTCTCTGTCTCCTACCCGATTCGACAGGAGACGCCTTTGATATGCGCGTGAAAACAAAAATCCATCTTCGAACAATCAATCATTCGAATTATCATTTTTATTCAAAGCGCTCTGTTGAAGTGGACATTGAAGTGTAGTTCGTTCGTATGCATCTAACTTGACAAATATGTTGTTGTTTTGATATTGCATTTGTCGACTTAAATTACGGAAGAACTTTGAACCTCTTTCGACATTTTTCATTTTACACACACCGAAGAGTCATGAATTAATTATGACATTGCGCTTTTAAAATTCACGACGGTGTATTGGTGCACGCTGTTGGAAAAGGAAGGATTATTTTAACTTGATAATTTTTCACGCGACTTTAAAGTTACCGCCAATTTATTCTTTTCTTCGGCTCAGTAAATGTTTTTGGTAATGCTCACATAACTGTAGATAAATTTTGAAGGAACAGTTATTTCTGTATTGACTTAGTTGACTTGACAAGGTTTTATTTTTGTTAGAATTTCCAAGTTTTCTGATATACGCGACACAGCTGTTGTTTTAGAGTTGAGGAATATCTCGTTTCCTAACTTTCATCAAACAGGTGCCCCTATTATAAACCCCTATCTATCTTTTTGTTAAATTGGTGGCTATTTAAAATTTTAATTTATTTCATACCTACACTGTGACTTATGTGACTGTGCTAAAGTGAAAAACCAGAATTTAACAGCATTGTCACACTTTATAATAAAGTATTAAGAATTTATGTTAACCCTGGAATGCCCAGATCCAATTGGACAGATCTGATCAGAATTACAGTGTATATTTCTGTCTATTGGGTCTGAGTAAACATGAGGTACATGACCATTCTCTGCATGGCACCATTAATGTCATGTGACATTTTTCTTTAATTTTAACATTGAAAACTTCTTGGAGTGAAAATTTAATGTTTAACAAAGGGAAACAATAAAGAATAATCAAGATCTTTAAAAGAACTAGTTCTCGTGCTGGCTGACTGTTGTTAAGACCCCGTCTCAGTTCATATTATTGTATCAACGGTCAGTGCTGTTAAGCTATTGGCCTTATGTCCTTAATCCTTTCTTCGTCAGTGAACCACATTCATTGTCAAAAGGGTTGAGAAGGCTGCTACTTTTTCCCTCTTTTTTTTTGTCCCTTCCCCCCCCTCCCCCCATTGTGCAGTGTTGACCAAATCTTAAGTGTTTGTGCATGCAACTGTTCTGTTATAATAAGATTGAATAGAGGGGAGGGGGGATATTTAGCAAAAGGAACAACCATCTCTTTTGAGGATTAAAATGAACTACTACTGAGGAAGTTTGCCCCTGATTCTGTGGTCAACATGCTCCTCTTCCTCTGTCATCCCTCTTCTTATCACATGTATTATAACAGTAAACTCATACACCATTAATCCACAAAATGTAGGCTCTGCTATCAGGGTAAAGACTGGCTGAAGAACATTCTTGATTTATATGGAACCCCCGTGGTCAAGTTCCATCACAAACAAAGGGGAACCAAGAAGAAGAATTTGTTATGCAAAAATTGGGGCTTAGTGGTTAAAGTATTCCATGGTATGATTTCTTTCCAGGCAAAATAAAATACACAGAAAAAGTGTATGATGCTTGTATGAGGTCATTTGATGCACTTCCCCTTGCTGCACTCATGAACAGACAGTTTCTTTGTGTCCACGGAGGATTATCCCCTGAAATCTATACTCTAGATGACATAAAAAAGGTAAGGTGATCTTGTGGAAAGAATATGCTCTTCATTGGAATAGTCAGTATTTTAACTAATGTTGCGCCTATCATTGCTTATGATCTATCACTTTTTGGAAAATCCTATTATGAGATCCTGGGATTTCAGTTGCCATGACTGGCCATTTTGTCAATCTGCAGCCTGTTTAACAGAGAGAAGTTGTTACGTCACATTGCCAAGGTGACAGAGTGACAAACAAAGAGGTCAAACCATGGTGCTAAAAATGTGGCAGAAAATAAAAATAAAAGTGAAATAAAGGAATAAAAAACTTGATGTATATGACTGCCCTGTCTATGATTGCACTCAGGAACAAAACGGTAGAGATAATTGTAGGTAATTATGGTCATTGTTCGTTCTACATAACATGAAGAGGAAGTGTGACCAGTTGCGTTGAAAAAATTATTTTTCTTGATGCAAGAAGTCACACTTAATTCTCTCTACTATTTCATGTAAAGGCATCAAAAGAGAAATCTGGTTCCATCTTGGTCTAACAGAAAGCAGCTTCTGGCCACTACTTACTATCGCACATTTTAAGGTCTGGAGAAGATGGCTAACCAAGATGGAAAGCTGCCGACGGACGAAAGAGTGCTCAAAAGTTAGTGCTTAAATCCTCCTATCTCGTTGAGCGATTCAAGAACGGTCCATAATAATTGCTGTGGAACGAGCCTCTTTAAGTTTTGTTCTTGTGTTTTTTTTCTTGATCTAGCTGTACCAATGCCGCCGATGGAACGACTTAAGGTGGCGGATGTGTTCGATGCGGACGGGAAACCCAGAGCAGATGTCTTAAAAGGTCATTTCTTGAAGGAGGGAAGAATTGAAGAAGACGTTGCTCTTCGACTCATAAATTCGGGCACCGAACTTCTGCAGGAGGAACCAACAATGCTCGAGGTCGAAGCCCCTATAACAGGTACATGCCACTGGTAATTTAGATTTTACAGGTGTATTTTTTGATAAGTGTGTCAGGTCACAGTCTTATGTGAGCTGTGTATAAGCGTTCGATCGATGTGAACTGCTGATGTAGTGTTCTATTTGTCTTTGTATACGTCTAGTGTGCGGCGATATACACGGTCAGTTCTACGACTTGATCAAGTTATTCGAAGTAGGAGGATCACCAAGTTCCACAAGATACCTCTTCCTCGGCGATTACGTAGACAGAGGTTATTTTTCAATCGAGGTAGGAAAAAGCGAACAACAGTAATCCTTGCCAACCATCGTACGTGTGTTCTTATTTCGCTGTTTCTTATATTATTTGTGCATATCAACAAATGATAACTCCATCTTTTTCTTTGAAGTGTTGTAATTCTTCCTCTTTCTCCTCCTTTGGATAGAGCTATTAGCATTTATCAACTGAGATAGATGTTTCATGTCATCCTCCCCTTGTTTCTTTTGCAGTGTGTTTTATATTTATGGGCGTTAAAACTCCTTTATCCTAACACGCTATTTATGCTAAGAGGGAATCACGAATGTCGACATTTAACGGAGTATTTTACCTTCAAAACAGAATGTAAGTACCTCATTTTCAGTTAAACTAAATTAATAATTTTAACGCTTGTTTTTCCCTTCTCTGTCTCCTACCCGATTCGACAGGAGACGCCTTTGATATGCGCGTGAAAACAAAAATCCATCTTCGAACAATCAATCATTCGAATTATCATTTTTATTCAAAGCGCTCTGTTGAAGTGGACATTGAAGTGTAGTTCGTTCGTATGCATCTAACTTGACAAATATGTTGTTGTTTTGATATTGCATTTGTCGACTTAAATTACGGAAGAACTTTGAACCTCTTTCGACATTTTTCATTTTACACACACCGAAGAGTCATGAATTAATTATGACATTGCGCTTTTAAAATTCACGACGGTGTATTGGTGCACGCTGTTGGAAAAGGAAGGATTATTTTAACTTGATAATTTTTCACGCGACTTTAAAGTTACCGCCAATTTATTCTTTTCTTCGGCTCAGTAAATGTTTTTGGTAATGCTCACATAACTGTAAATAAATTTTGAAGGAACAGTTATTTCTGCATTGACTTAGTTGACTTGACAAGGTTTTATTTTTGTTAGAATTTCTAAGTTTTCTGATATACGCGACACAGCTGTTGTTTTAGAGTTGAGGAATATCTCGTTTCCTAACTTTCATCAAACAGGTGCCCCTATTATAAACCCCTTTCTATCTTTTTGTTAAATTGGTGGCTATTTAAAATTTTAATTTATTTCATACCTACACTGTGACTTATGTGACTGTGCTAAAGTGAAAAACCAGAATTTAACAGCATTGTCACACTTTATAATAAAGTATTAAGAATTTATGTTAACCCTGGAATGCCCAGATCCAATTGGACAGATCTGATCAGAATTACAGTGTATATTTCTGTCTATTGGGTCTGAGTAAACATGAGGTACATGACCATTCTCTGCATGGCACCATTAATGTCATGTGACATTTTTCTTTAATTTTAACATTGAAAACTTCTTGGAGTGAAAATTTAATGTTTAACAAAGGGAAACAATAAAGAATAATCAAGATCTTTAAAAGAACTAGTTCTCGTGCTGGCTGACTGTTGTTAAGACCCCGTCTCAGTTCATATTATTGTATCAACGGTCAGTGCTGTTAAGCTATTGGCCTTATGTCCTTAATCCTTTCTTCGTCAGTGAACCACATTCATTGTCAAAAGGGTTGAGAAGGCTGCTACTTTTTCCCTCTTTTTTTTTGTCCCTTCCCCCCCCTCCCCCCATTGTGCAGTGTTGACCAAATCTTAAGTGTTTGTGCATGCAACTGTTCTGTTATAATAAGATTGAATAGAGGGGAGGGGGGATATTTAGCAAAAGGAACAACCATCTCTTTTGAGGATTAAAATGAACTACTACTGAGGAAGTTTGCCCCTGATTCTGTGGTCAACATGCTCCTCTTCCTCTGTCATCCCTCTTCTTATCACATGTATTATAACAGTAAACTCATACACCATTAATCCACAAAATGTAGGCTCTGCTATCAGGGTAAAGACTGGCTGAAGAACATTCTTGATTTATATGGAACCCCCGTGGTCAAGTTCCATCACAAACAAAGGGGAACCAAGAAGAAGAATTTGTTATGCAAAAATTGGGGCTTAGTGGTTAAAGTATTCCATGGTATGATTTCTTTCCAGGCAAAATAAAATACACAGAAAAAGTGTATGATGCTTGTATGAGGTCATTTGATGCACTTCCCCTTGCTGCACTCATGAACAGACAGTTTCTTTGTGTCCACGGAGGATTATCCCCTGAAATCTATACTCTAGATGACATAAAAAAGGTAAGGTGATCTTGTGGAAAGAATATGCTCTTCATTGGAATAGTCAGTATTTTAACTAATGTTGCGCCTATCATTGCTTATGATCTATCACTTTTTGGAAAATCCTATTATGAGATCCTGGGATTTCAGTTGCCATGACTGGCCATTTTGTCAATCTGCAGCCTGTTTAACAGAGAGAAGTTGTTACGTCACATTGCCAAGGTGACAGAGTGACAAACAAAGAGGTCAAACCATGGTGCTAAAAATGTGGCAGAAAATAAAAATAAAAGTGAAATAAAGGAATAAAAAACTTGATGTATATGACTGCCCTGTCTATGATTGCACTCAGGAACAAAACGGTAGAGATAATTGTAGGTAATTATGGTCATTGTTCGTTCTACATAACATGAAGAGGAAGTGTGACCAGTTGCGTTGAAAAAATTATTTTTCTTGATGCAAGAAGTCACACTTAATTCTCTCTACTATTTCATGTAAAGGCATCAAAATGTCCTCCAAGGTGAAGTGTAACTTAATGCATCAGATAAATAAGCCTTGTGTTTCAAACATGTTTTTTCCCCAAAACAGGTTACGTTTCCTGTTTATATGACACAGCAAGCTGATAAAATTGCAAAACAAAAAAAACTGTACACCTGTTTTCTCTAGAGAGCTATTTTTTCCAATGACTGAACTGTTTTGTGTTTTCTATCTATGTATTTATTAGATTGACCGATTCACAGAGCCACCTGCATTTGGTCCAATGTGTGACTTGCTGTGGTCTGATCCGCTAGAGGACTATGGCAATGAAAAAAATGCTGAACATTTCAGTCATAACACTGTCAGAGGCTGCTCATATTTCTACAGGTATTATAGCGAGATGTTGCTATAACAAACTAGATTGCTTCTAGGGTTACTCATTTAATGTAGAGATCAGCTATTTCGAGGAAGGTTGTCGGAAAAATGTGTATGCGACAATCCCGAGAGGTAATGTGGGATATGTTCAATACACTGTTAGCTGTCGAACCTACTTTTGTTGATCCCTTTAGCACTCACAGACATATGTCCAGGGGCTCTCCTTTCATTCTATCAAATTTCTTTGAAAACCAGTGAACTCAATACCACCCACAATACCAGGGTTGTCACTAAGATTTAAAGTTGCCGGGTAAATACAACAAGTAGGCAGGGAATAAAACGGCTACGGATTTCTTTCGGTTCTATTTTTCTTCTATTTTCCAATAAAAGTAGCCGGGGGCCACTCTCTTAGTAGCTGGGGAAAATCCCCGGCCCCAGGCTCTTCATGACAACCCTGCAATACCTTTTGGGGTTGTTGCGTGCACTTTATCCGACAGCCTTTCTTGAAATAGCTGTATGTTGTGGTTCAATGTTATCCTTGGTTTGAATTTCAAACTCCTTTGTTTCAAACTCATTATCATACATTTCAATACCCCAAAACAAAAGAAAATGAAATTTAAACCAAGGATAAAATTGGACCACAACACACACATATATATATATATATTTGTTATAGAATTTTCTTTTTCTCTCTTGTTCCTGCGTCGAATAGCCCTCGCTAATTGCAGGCATAAGCTTTATAAGTTATACTATATATCTTAACTTGAAATAAACTTGTTGCTGTTGTTTTTGTACTGTATCCCTGCATTATTTGATACCCTTTGTCTATTCTAAAACAGATAACACAAGAAGTTTCTTTCGTTCTAGCACTCAGAAGAATGTTGTAACTTCTACTGATGCATTGTTTGATTAAGCAGAGTTTCCTGCCATTAATTTGTTTTTAGTTACCAAGCAACATGTGACTTTCTTGTGAAAAACAATTTGCTGTCAATTATCAGAGCCCACGAGGCACAAGATGCTGGGTAGGTAACCCTAACTTCTGGTTACATTTTACATTAAATACGTGAAAACAGTTAGCCTTTTCATTTAACATTTATTAAAGGAACGGCAGTACTAAAACATGGAATCCGGAATCCGGAAGTGGAAACGGAATCACAGAAATGGAAACGGAATACGGAATCTGTGAAAGAAGGTTCCAAGCGATCGATTTAAAAAAAATATATTAGCAATGACAATAAAATAAATAAACAGATAAAAAGAAAAAGACACAAATGAATAAATTAGCTGAGTAGAGGAGAGGAGACTGCTGTACCACTAGAGGAGTCGATTCCGGTGAAAAGACGCTTGATACCACTATCAGCAATGAATGCAAATTCTCATGGGACAGCAAAGCGAGGAGAAAAACGTTACTGACAAAAACTAGTGCCTTAAGAAAAAAGTTATATGGAGACAGACTTCGTTTGAATCGTCAGAGGCGTCGTTTATATAACTGAAAGGCGTCGCCGTCAAGTTTTTCTTAGTGTCTTTTCTGGGTTGTCTGCAACAGTGTTCAGGTTTATTTATCAAGACAACTTACTCAAGAGAACCATGGCATTGTAGAGTCCAAAGAGAAGAGAGAATTGTGCATGCATTTGCTTGATTCCGCAACCGATTATATCAAAATAATGCGCCATGTTTAATAAGCCTCTTCAACAAAAATACGGACGTCCACGTAAACTCAATTACTGGTACACCAGTATTTCATCAGTATTCAGCTTGGCGAAAAAGTTGAACTTATTGCTAAAACAACGGAACTGTGGTCACCTCACCGGTCGGTCATGTGTGGAGTATTCAGTTTGGGGAAAATCACTACTATTCTTGACAATTAGCTACAAAAGTAATATTTAACGGTATTATTCAACCCATGAACTCGTGAATAAAAATTACTCGAAAAATTACTTTCATCGGCCTTGCAGTGCAGTAACCCACGCTACGGCAAACCTTTTTAACAAGAATATATTTAAGGGAACTGCCAAGAAAACTAAGACAAACTGGCTCTTTGGATTGTACTAAATTGTGTAATGTGAAATTCTTTAATTTTCTATCATTGATATTTGATTTCGTATTCCGTTTCCGTTTCCGTGATTCCGTTTCCGTTTCCGGATTCCATGTTTTAGTGCTGCCGTTAAAGGAATGCTTTCAGCGTGCAAAGAAAGTCGTGTCCGATAGCCAGGGGCTGGCAGATTTTGCTATAGGCTAGTGATTTTTGTTCTTAACTTGCCCATCGGGCAAGTGCTGTTTTTTGGGGAAATTCAAATTACGGAAGGATTGTAATCAATCCTGCTAATCAAAAGGGGTTTTGGGGCTAGTTGAAATGACTCATGGGCTAGTACATGCTAGCTACAGCTTGCCCGAATGGCAGGCTGTAAAACTTACTTTCTTTGTACCCTGGCTTTAGACAAGAGTTTTAAAGTGTTTTCTAATCCATTTAAGTGGTTTGCTGTGAGATAGTGACAATTCTAAGAGGGCAGTCGGTAAATTGTTGTTGCTTGAAGTACAGTAGAACCTTAGTATAATGAAGTACCAAGGACCTGGCAAAATATGTTTGCTATTATTAGGGTATTATACTATTACTGGTGTGAAGAATATTTAGCAATTATTGAATGAGGCTGAGTAGGATATGAACAATTCTGCAGATCGAGGAGGGTGTTATCCACCAAGGCCGGAGGCAGAGGTCGATAACACCCTCTGAGATCTGCAGAATTCTTCATATCCTGCGATAGCCGAATTCAATAATTGCTTTATTATTCATTCAAAATGCTTAGCGAAAAATGCTTACCTCGGTCGATGTTAAGTTCACATCGATAGTGCATCTTTTTCAGGAAATTTAGCAGATAAAGGTCTGCTCAGGTCTGCAAATTTACTCCAAATAGCAGATGTTGTCCGTCGAGTTGACTCCTTGCTGTTCTTGCGATGTTTTTAGACAATATTTCGCCATGAAACGAGTACAATATCCGCCTGACAGTTCCGCCATTTTGTTCAAACGACCAAAACAACTCAACCTCGTCCCCAGGTTTCCTTAGTCAACAGTTCAATCTGACAAATTATTGAACCGATGATGTCATTTTGACATCATTGGTTCAATATGACAGTTCAGCGGCTGGTTATGGTGAATTATGCGTGTGGTTTTACCCATTCAGAAATGGGGAAATATTTTGAATGAATAATAATGTTCATTATACCAAGGACTTCATTATAGAGAGGCTTGTTATATCAATGTTCCAGTGTAAGAGAATAAATAAAAGAAGTTTTATGCCTTAAGATTTTGTCATGTTTGTCTCGTTATCTAGCTATTACAGCATCATGTTGTTATGTCTGCAAGTTCTGACGTAACAACTTAAAAGCCGTATACAGTGTTATCTTGTCATGATGTTATAATGTTGTTTGTGTAAGCCATTGATTTTTTCCCATGTGCACACAGTCACAAGTAGTTTCTCATCATCTTTATTCTTTCTGTTGTAGATACCGAATGTACCGAAAGAGTCAAGAAACTGGATTTCCTTCACTCATCACAATCTTCTCAGCTCCTAACTATTTGGATGTCTATAATAACAAAGGTTAGCTTTCACTTCCGGCATCTTTTTGTATTATCAATTTATTGCACTGGTTTTAGTTAACCCTTTAAGCCCCAATATCCACATACAAATTCTCCAAACTGATCTCCATACATCCACTTTAAGAATTAGTTGAGAGAATTTGATAAAAGATCATGGAATTTTCTCTATGATGATCATTTTAGTAATTCTCATAACTTTATTTCTTGACAATCTATGGATACATTTAGGAGAAAATTGATGTTGATCGCTATTGGGACTTAAAGGGTTAACTATTTCATGTCCTTCTCCTTTTAGCTGCTGTGTTGAAGTACGAAAACAATGTCATGAACATTCGGCAGTTCAATTGCTCTCCTCATCCATATTGGCTTCCTAATTTCATGGATGTGTTTACATGGTCATTGCCATTTGTTGGTGAAAAAGGTAAGGTTTGAAATCATGAAAAGTTTGTAGCAAATCTGTAGAGATTAGGACTGTAGATATCCCTGACGATCTCTTTGTGATATGTGAATAATAAGTGGGAAGTTGTTAACTGCGTCTCTACTTTCAGTCACTGAGATGCTGGTGAACATTCTCAATATCTGTACTGATGAGGAACTTGAAGGAGAGGAGGATGAAGAACAAAGTGAAGCCATCAAAAGGAAAGAAGTTATTCGTAGCAAAATACGAGCTATTGGAAAGATGGCCAGAGTATTTACTGTTCTCAGGTGAGTAGTTTGAGCACCAGAGATAAGACGGGCTGCCTTATGTATTGATACCAATGAAATGCTCCAATCGCAACTTTTTCCTAGCCATTCTGTATCATGTAGACATTTCCAAACAATATTTTCTTGGTTTGCCACTTGAAAATCGTGTTTAACTTTTTGCATGAATTAAAGCAAAGGAGTAGTGACGTCACTGGACAGCATTAACAGCCAGTCAAGTCAGACGTTACTGAGGGAGTAATTATGACTTGAAGTAATTGGATGAAAGTCAGGCTATGTCACCATCGCACTTTTATTATTTTCTCGACTTATCTTTAATCCTTACTGGCAACAAGTTTACGCTTCCGTCATCTCTCCTGATTGTTGCTACTCATCATTTTTGTGTCACCCTTAATGTCACTGTAAACACTTCTTTATCTTATCACTTCTGCGCTTTTGATGGTAATTATGGATATCCTTATCGTGATTATGATTGTAATCAACCCACCTCATTACATTACTACTGTTCCTCTTCTAATCATAGTTTCATGAATGTTATCTTGTACTGCACTGATTGCATTGGCTTTATCATTGTTTTTAATTTTTAGGGAGGAAAGTGAGAGTGTTGTTCAACTCAAGGGCCTAACTCCATCAGGGCATCTCCCTGTAGGACTCCTCTCTGGGGGCAAGCAGGGACTTGAAACAGGTAAGCTTGATTGTTCAGTGTTCATTCTAGAAACAGCGGCAGGATTTGCTCAGTCAGTAGAGCACTCGACTGCAGAGTGGAAGGTCGTGGGTTTGATTCCTGGGGCAGGACCCAGACTTTTAGACTTTTAGACTTTTAGACTTTTAGACTTTTTGAGACTTTTTATGGGGCACACAATGGTGAATTGTAAGAAAAAAATGGTCTTGAACTCAGAATATGCCAGTAATGCTATTAGTCCCCGGCTTCCCAACCCCCCTTTTTCCAATGGAATTTAGGAGTAGGCATCAGTGGTTAACAAAAAGTCTTAAACATGTAATTTATTCTGTTTTGTAGCTTTACAAGGCCATGTATTTGGCCCCCATAACAAAATCAGTGGCTTTGCGCAGGCGAAAGGACTTGATCAGGTGAATGAAAGAATGCCGCCACGGAAAGATTTGCCCATACAACCTGGATCCAAGTGAAGTTCTGAATAGGAGCAAGGCATCCAATCCTGTCATCAACTGTTAAAGATACCTGTATTTCGCATTACCTGGTAATTAACGCTGTGAATACCTGTGTAAAATATTGCAATTATTTGGCTTCTCATTTTGCTCTGCTCTTTGATGTACCTTAATAATTATGTCCGTGATGACTGGGTTGGTATTGCCTTTGCAACTAAGTCCAACACTACATTGTGAAGGACGGGCAAAGAGTAACTTTCTGAAAGGTTTCAACAGATCAGAGTAAGTTATCTGACTTGGATATGTCATTGGAATCCTCTTGTACAGTGAATGTTCTGTGTTGTACAGAATGCCCAGGATATGCCACAGGCATGGCTAATGGTAGCCTCCCATGCCTGCTCAACCGAAGACAACATTCCTTTCCCATGCTTAGCCAATCACATTGTACTTTCCAAATTCTGGAAAGATGACCTCGACCGCAAGGTAATCTGATAATTACTTGATCTGCATGAAACATGGGGAAAGCTTTCTGACCTCTAATAAATGTTACATTCAGAGCGGCAAAAATAAGATTTAGTCAAATGTAGAATACTCCATGCACTGCATAGCGGTTTTAGTCGCGGTTAGCCTGTCAACACTTTATTGCACAACTGTGGATTGGTCACGTACCACGCAAATAAAACAATAGGAAAGGAATGTTGTTTTCAGTTGAGCAGGCGTTTGTGGGGAGGGATGAAAAACGAGCTCCCCTAAAAACGCCTGCGTGGGAGGCTAGGCTTATGGCTCCTTTGCTTTTGGCATTGGCATTCTCAAAATGTCTCAAATACTAAGTAAATATATAATGCAATGATTTTACCAGTATATATTATACAGTGTATAGAATATACATAATCGTTATGTAGTTAGGAGTTCCAGGTGATTTAAGTGCTATAAGCTCTTAGCAACGACTCTTGGGAAATAAATTCGTAACATTTTGGGTTTATGGGCCCCTAAAAGAGTAATTCATCATATACATTTGACCGGCCAGAAACGATACGTGACCGAGCAAAAATGTATTTGGCCGGTCATTGTGACCGGAGACTATCCGAAAATTATTTCGAGCCCTGTTGTCGTGATTATGATCGTAATCAACCCACCTCATTACATTACCACTGTTCCTCTTCTAATCATAGGTTCATGAATGTTATCTTGCACTGCACTGATTGCATTGGCTTTATCATTGTTTTTTTAATTTTTAGGGAGGAAAGTGAGAGTGTTGTCCAACTCAAGGGCCTAACCCCTTCAGGGCATCTTCCTGTAGGACTCCTCTCTGGGGGAAAGCAGGGACTCGAAACAGGTAAGCTTCATTGTTCAGTGTTCATTCTAGAAACAGCGACAGGAGTTGCTCAGTCCGTAGAGCACTTGACTGCAGAGTGGGAGGTTGTGGGTTCGAGTCCTGGGGCAGGACCAAAAATATCTAAGAAGTGAAGGTACTCCCTTTGCCCTGCAAACGGCTAGACCTTCGCGTGGCTCGGATGACCATGTAAAATGGCAGTCCCGTTTCCACAAGGAGACGTAACAATGGTATCCCCAATTAGTACTTTTGACACTCAAATAAAGTGCATTTTATTTCAGACTCTGCAGTGCTCAAAGATCAACGTTTTTCTAAGTCACCTCTTGGAAACACAAAATTTCACAGCCAACTCTCTCTTAATGGACACCTCTGTAAGACAGACACTTTGTTAAAACGGGCACCTAGAGTTAGTCCCTGCCTTTTTTTTCTCCTTTTAGTTGAGAGGGACATCTCTTTAAGACAGACACTTAGTGCTGGTTCCAGAGGTGTCTGTCTTAGAGACAGTTGGCTTTTAACCATTTTGTGTTTGCAAAACATAAAATATTGGTCATTAGAAAAAGACACTTTGTGCAATATAATAGGGAGCTTTAGCATCGACGACGGCAACTGCAGCAGAAACGTCAGTTTTAAAATGAATTCCCGTTTTTTCAATCTTTGTCGCGTTTATTCCAATTTGCTGAAAATGGCAAGTGTTGATTAGTTGCCCTGGAGTTGATTTCTTGAGGATTGTACTCAAGTTTAGAGAGAGAAAAAGAGATTTGTCGTCGCTTGTTTACTTCCTCCATAAAATTTGCAATTAGCCATTTTCACGTTGTAGTCGTGCAAGGACGGTAAAGAAATGTACAAAAAAGCGTGATGCACGTGCAAAGTTGTTGTTTTGCGTAATAAACCTATTGCTTTTTTGACGTCCTCTTTGTTGTCGCCGTCGTCGTTGCTAAAGTTCCCTAATGTGAGGAATTGAACAAGAGTAATCGATCAATCTACAGTAACAGTCACAGTCAAATTTGAAGGCACACATGACATCTTAAGGCATTATAATAGGGAGCTTTAGCAACTGCCACAACAATGAGAGCGTCCAGACACATCTGGTTTTATGAGTAAAACAACACATAACACTTCAAGTGCATCGCACTTTCTGGTAGATCTCTTTGACATCACCTGCACCACCACAAACTTCCTAATGAGACTTTTTATAGGGCACACAATGGTGAATCGTAAGAAAAAAATGACCCATGAACTCAGAATATGCCAGTAATGCTATTAGTCCCCGCTTCCCAATCCTCATTTTTCAATGGAATTTAGGCGTAGGCATCAGTAGTTAACAAAAAGTCTTAAACATGTAATTTATTCTTTTTTGTAGCTTTACAAGGCCATGTATTTGGCCCCCATAACAAAATCAGTGGCTTTGCACAGGCTAAAGGACTTGATCAGGTGAATGAAAGAATGCCGCCACGGAAAGATTTGCCCATACAACCTGGATCCAAGTGAAGTTCTGAATAGGAGCAAGGCATCCAATCCTGTCATCAACTGTTAAAGATACCCTTATTTCGCATTACCTGGTAATTAACGCTGTGAATACCTGTGTAAAATATTGCAATAATTATTTTGCTTCTCATTTTACTCTGCTCTTGGATGTACCGTAATAATATTATGTCTGTGATGACTGGGTTGGTATTGCCTTTGCAACTAAGTCCAACACTACATTGTGAAGGACGGACGAAGAGTAACTTTCTGAAAGGTCTCAACAGATCAGAGTAAGTTATCTGACTTGGATATGTCATTGGAATCTTTGTACAGTGGATGTTCTGTGTTGTACAGGATGCCCAGGATATGCCACAGGCATGGCTAATGGTAGCCTCCCACGCCTGCTCAACCGAAGACAACATTCCTTTACCATGCTTAGCCAATCAGGTTGTACTTTCCAAATTCTGGAAAGATGACCTTGACCGCAAGGGAATCTGATAATTACTTGATCTGCATGAAACACTGGGACAGCTTTCTGACCTCTAATAAATGTTAGATTCAGAGCGGCGAAAATAAGATTTAGTCAAATGTAGAATACTCCATGCACTGCATAGTGGTTTTAGTCACGTTTAGCCTGTCAACACTTTATTGCACAACTGTTGATTGGTCACTTACCACGCAAATAAAACAATGGGAAAGGAATGTTGTTTTCGGTTGAGCAGGCGTTTGTGGGGAGGGATGAAAAACAAGCTCCCCTAAAAACGCCTGCGTGGGAGGCTCGGCTAATGGCTCCTTTTCTTTTGGCATTGGCATTCTCAAAATGTCTCAAATACTAAGTAAATATATAATGCAATGATTTTACCAGTATATATTATACAGTGTATAGAATATACATAATCGTTATGTAGTTAGGAGTTCCAGGTGATTTTGTGTTAAAAGTTTAAGGACCCCACGATCACAGTTTTGTGGATGTGGCCACCATTGTATGGGAACAAACATGGGCTCATTGCTGAATTTTCATTGATTTTATGTAACTTTTAAGAAACTTGTCAAGGCAGTATTTTGCCAGGTGTTAGGCTATAATCCCATTGCATTCTTGTGATAACACCCAGTAATATGACCCACTTTTTTTCCACTTTCCTCTGTTGGCCACGACCATAAAATCATCATCGTTGTAAACATGCACTAATATTCTGTATCCTTATCTTATTCTTGTGAGATCTTATATTATAAAAAATAAAGAACTAATCCTGGAAGGGAAATAAAGTCAACTCTTTCTTGACCCTTTCATTCCCTGAAGGGGCCCAAGTGAAAATCAGACAATCAAAGAGGTTTCATTTGAATGGTCAAACCGCAGGCACTCTGTGTTAAGTGAACATGTAGTGCTGGTCNCTTTTGGCATTGGCATTCTCAAAATGTCTCAAATACTAAGTAAATATATAATGCAATGATTTTACCAGTATATATTATACAGTGTATAGAATATACATAATCGTTATGTAGTTAGGAGTTCCAGGTGATTTTGTGTTAAAAGTTTAAGGACCCCACGATCACAGTTGTGTGGATGTGGCCACCATTGTATGGGAACAAACATGGGCTCATTGCTGAATTTTCATTGATTTTATGTAACTTTTAAGAAACTTGTCAAGGCAGTATTTTGCCAGGTGTTAGGCTATAATCCCATTGCATTCTTGTGATAACACCCAGTAATATGACCCACTTTTTTTCCACTTTCCTCTGTTGGCCACGACCATAAAATCATCATCGTTGTAAACATGCACTAATATTCTGTATCCTTATCTTATTCTTGTGAGATCTTATATTATAAAAAATAAAGAACTAATCCTGGAAGGGAAATAAAGTCAACTCTTTCTTGACCCTTTCATTCCCTGAAGGGGCCCAAGTGAAAATCAGACAATCAAAGAGGTTTCATTTGAATGGTCAAACCGCAGGCACTCTGTGTTAAGTGAACATGTAGTGCTGGTCCAATCTGAGTCAGTTTCTTTCTTAGAAAGAGTTGACTGCAGTTTCTCTTTTCTTGTCACCCGTCAGTTAACCCTTCAAGTCCCAATATCCACAAACAAATTCTCCAAACTGGTCTCCATACATTTCGTTAAAGAATAAGTTGAGAGAATTTGTTCAAAGATCAAGGCATTTTCTCTTTGGTAATCATTTTGTCAATTCTCATAACCGTATCTCTTGACAATGTACGGATACTGTCAGGAGAAAATTGATGTTGGTCACTATTGGGACTTAAAGGGTTGAACATGACATGATGTACCTGGGCCTTTAATACACCAGTCTAGTGCTTACTTAACCCTTTACATGAGCCGATAAAGCAAGAAAACCGGTTCCAATAAAACCCATTAAATGGCCATAAATCGGCTCGGAAACCGCACGGGGAAAAAAGAAACACAACTTAAGCAAAGTTAGACGATTTTTATTTAAATTCTTTGACATAAACAATAAAATTTATTGTTTTTTCTCCCATACAAATCCTTATATTTTGAAAGTTACGTATCAGTGCTGTTGATCATATTTCGAGCTTTGAGCCACCTGTCTATTGATATATCTTCTAGGGACAGGGTTATTGAAATTAACAGAATCACAAAAGCGAAATTTTTTTTTTTTTTTACTTAAAGCAAATTTTCTCAACCATTACTTGAAGGAAATGTATGGAGATTTAGTCTGGAAAATTTTGTATGCGGATATTGAGGTTTAAAGGGTAAACACTAGTTTGCCATGTGAGTAAATAAGATATTGGTCTCTGACAGTTTTTCCTTTCAAACGCAGCTCTGATTCTAAAGGGGTTTAGAACCATTTGTTGACCACTGTACATGAGTTCAGTGTCTGTCATACCTTTTCATTTTTCAGATTAGATAGAACAGGGAGTCTTTCGGGCATCTTTCATTAATTTTGATTGCTTGGTCGGATGAAAGTTGTAGTGGTTGGGTGATCAAAAAGTAGCTACCAGACGTAAGAGTGGTTGGCTTTGCCCTAGTTCTGAGAAATATGCTGTTTATTTTGATTTGTGCTTTACACCCAGGAATGGCATAAGCGCTTTAAGGTCGGAACACTAGGCAACATTTTGCTGCAACACTTTGTGGAGACAAATCACTGCTTGTGTACCTGCTGGATGTCAAGGTTCTGTAACAAGCTGCGCAAACATTTCAGCGACAAATCGCTTTTTGTGTCTTGCTAACCTATGGTATAATTGAAAACTATCGTGATTTTCAGTTATGAATATTCTCAAACTGCTGCCAAGTTGGGAAGAAAATTCAATGTAAGTTGGCTATGGTAGCAATCCTTTTAATAAGTTCTGATCTTAACCTATTAGGTAGTTCGTAAATAGTTTCATTGCCGCTCATGTATTATAAACCATGAAAAGTAATAATGTTTTGTGAAGTAATTAGGAGACAATTTATGTGTACGTTTATAAAGCCCCTGTTGCGTATAAGGACTTGAACTGTATCAAATTATGCAAAGTAGGTGGACATTTTATTTATGATTTTATTAAAAGAAAAGGTGGCAGGTTGTGCCGCTAATTTTAATTAAAGATCTCATGAAAAGTAGGTCATTTTGCTGTGTTGAAGAATCTGACGTCCTTGGTAGCTCAAGCCCGTCCACAGGCGTTTTCGCTTTTTTTTTGGTGGGGGTTGGGGGGGAGAGGATTTAAGAGCGCGCAGGTTACGCTCCAACCTCGTTCCGAGAGTTTCGTCTTACCCGGAGCGACGAGTATGCGGACGCTGACGTATTTTCGGTCGTCGTAGACTACAAGTAAGCAGAGCGGGTGAAAAGCGGCGACGCCTTTCTCGCGTGGGGTGATTTTCACGCGAGCTCGCGTTTCGGTCGCTCTACTATCCCTAAAGGGAAAATGATGGACTACTCGTAGTCTAGGTCGTCGCTTCTCTCCACCCTTGCTAATTGCGCTCTTGCGGTCAATAAATCCCCTGCGGTTTTATTTTCAAACACGTCCTCGACGATCTCGAAAGAGAAAATAGGGGGTCTATGAACAAGTTGTGGTAGCTTATCCACTTTGAAAATGATCGTGAACAAATCCACCGCAATCGTCTCGAGCTTGAGACGAGGTAAGATACCCCGTGTGAGCCCTTTCCCTAAGTTGGGTTGTTTGTTCTAAAATACGCTAGGTTCTTGTGTAGCAAACCCCTGTTAATATCAATTGACTGACATTAATAACTGCCTTTCAGAAACTAAGCCTGGCGCTTACTAGAAGTCAGAACTGGTGAGCCGTACCGGTCATTTCTAAAACGAAACGTGACTCTTTCGCGAGTTTTCGCTAAGGCCCCGTTCTTGTTTGAAAACGGAGATTTATTTTCTCTTGTTTGGCCTACATAGTAGGGACCTTAAGCAAGAACGAGGACAACGGCAGTGAAAACGTCGCTAAAAAAATGAATTTGCGTCCTTTCAAACTTAATCGCGTCTATTTGGACTGGCTCAATATGTCAAATGCAGGCGACTTTTCCTGGAGTTGAATTGTGAAGGATTTTATTCAAATTGAAAGAGGAATTAAGGAAAAATTCGTCGTCCTGTATGTCCACGTCCTCCATAAAAAGTCAAATTAGGAGGTTTTACTTCGTAGTCGTGCAGTGGACGTTAAAGGAATGTACTAAAAAGCGTGATGCACCTGCAGAGCTATTGTTTTGATCATTAAAGATCACTAAACCTATTGTTTTTGGGAGTTGTCGTCGTCGTCGTGGTTGCTTAAAGCTACAGTGAAAACGGTCACCGAAAATGCATTTTTTCAAATACGCTTTCCAGGGGCCCGTTTCTCGAAAGTCCCGCTAACTTTTCGGCCAGGCCCGAAATGAAATATTCAAATCAAAATCTAAACAGATAAGAGCGCTGGTTCTAGACAGCAAACCAGTGCATTTTGTTTTGTTAACTGATGCTTTATGATGTTGTCTAACAAATTTTTAAACCTCTATCTTGAATGTAAACAACAACACCTTTTCGGGTCCGTTAATTGTCGGGTGTTTCGGGAAACGGCCCTCAGAGCGGGGAATTTTGAAAACTTTGGCTAGGGTCTGCCGGATATGCCGGCATAATTTTGAGCATAATACTATATCTGGAGCATCAGGCATAATGCTGGCATAATACTAATATTTTTGGAGCATAATGCCTCTGTTTCTGAAAACTGTTAGAAGTGTATGCAAATTTTGCCAGCAACTCGCTCTTAGGGACGCTCTAGAATGTACAAAGTTGATAAAAGTGGGAATATTTTAACTGGATACGTCAGACTCGTACCCAGTGCATTTTGCTTTAATCCAAGTTCATTGGAGAAAGACATATAGTAAGCCTTTCAATGTCTCACAATTTCCGACCTTTCGCTTGCTCATCAAATTCAAATGTTTAACTGAATAATTATTGTCTAACAATTCTTTCAAAAATGAAAGACTAGGAATGTTTATAAATAGATATAGGCCTATGGGCGGGGGAGGAAGAGGGGGGGTGGGGTGGAAGTGTCATTTTAGTCCGGCATAATTTGAGCATAATACCTCCCTCCAGTCGAGCATAAATTTTGAGCATAATACCCTAGTTTCACGGGTGACGCCCGAAAGCATAACACTCTATTTTTCGAACATAATCCGGCAGACCCTAACTTTGGTAGCCTCCCCGCAGACGTCCTTTGGGGTTCGTTTGTCACGCAAACGAACCCCAAAGGACGTCTGCGGGGAGGCTATAACTTTGGCTTATCAAACAACGCGTGCCCTGTCCCGGGGGGGGGGGTACTCCCATACATTACCTATNCGTCTGCGGGGAGGCTATAACTTTGGCTTATCAAACAACGCGTGCCCTGTCCGGGGGGGGGGGGTACTCCCATACATTACCTATACGGGTATGTGCCGCCCAAAGGGGTCGTGATTTTGAAGCTCCCGATTTAGAACGGGGTATCCATTTCAGAGGCGTTTTCTAGAACGGGGTATAAAATTTTGAACGCGTGAAAGGTCCACTTTTGTAAGCAGCCATTTGAAAGTATTCAAGGACAGATTGCTTTTAAAAAATACGGTTCAATGCATTAATAAGCAAACTGTTGCACTCTTGTTGCACCCTAGAACGGAGTATAAAAAATTGGCCCATTTCTAGAACGGGGTATCAGTTTTAGGGCGAATACTAGAACGGGGTATAAAAAATTGGCCCATTTTTAGAACGGGGTATCAATGTAAGGGGAATTTTTTTCTAGAACGGGGTGCCAATTTGGAGTCTCGGGCGGCACATACCCACCCAAAAAATACCCAAGTGCCCCCCCCGGGTGCCCTGTAAGGCATGCAATCGTATCCATCGTTTCAGCTTTTTCGTGTGAACAGGCCAAAGCGAGTACAATACGTTACGTGTGGACGCGTATTTTTTTCGAAAACGGAGGGAAAAATTGTCCGTTTTCAAAAATATCCGGATACGTGTCAACGAGGCCAAAAAACCATCGCAGCCGTGCTTTTGATTCTTTATTCGACGACATACCTACAGTACATCCATATCTCCGTTTTCAAAAATAGCCTGACACTTGTGAACGACGCCTAAAAACCCATCTCAGCCGTGCATTCTATTCTATATATTTTTTTCTTTGAAATGTTATTGTCGTCTTTCTGTAAACTGATTAACAGTTTATTTTCATTCGAAATCAGAAGTAAATCTTAGTAACTAAAATAACAATTGCCAAAAAAAGGAGTGATTTACATGTATACATATGAAGTACATGTATATTAGACTAACATGCCTTGCTTGTGTTGGCCTGGTTGGTTTCTCCCTTTTCTTTCTCGTTCTTATGGCAACCATTTTCGTGCCCATTGACATCTCCAGGGAGCTCCTGATTCACGAGGCCCATCGTTGCTGGGTCCTCTAAACCGACATCCTTACAGTGTACCTCCACTCCTAGGCCTCCTCTAGGGTACCCTTGACAGATCTCGTGGTACTCTTGAAGGCGCATTGCCAGAAGGTCACGAGGCATGTGGTTAATGTATCCACATTTACCAATTCCCTTGGGAACAGGGGCTGCAAGATTACCTCCACGCTTTTCAATTACTTTCTCTTGGGCACTGTAGAGACGATCGACATCTTCCATGATTGGGTGCCATAAAGACAATTCAAGATTACTCAACAGCGAAAGGATGCGATCAAGTTCACCTCTAGTGGTCCAACCCTCGCAGAAAGAAAGGTAAGCTCCAAAGCCCATTCCAGTCGATACAGCGTGACCATGGAGCATGCCAGATGGAAGCTCGTATCCTGGGGTCCATGTATGGCCGTAGGCATGTGGTCGACACTGATGTGTTTCCCATAGACTACCATACTCAGATCTCACATAACTGAAAAGAAAAAAAACAAACAAACCAAAATTGACAAATATACAGAAGAAAAAGAAAGTAGCCGCGTCAGATCTAGCTGAGTTGGTAGAGCCCTTGACGGCAGAGCGGGAGGTAACGGGCCGAACCCCCGCGAGGCCGGACCAGTAATCTGGGAAATAAAGCTACTGTCTTTGCCGTGCAATGGCTAGACCTTCGCGTGGCTCCGATGAACACTTAAAATGGCGGGTCCAGCCTTCGAGTGAATGTGAAGCTGACGGCGACCTTGTTCTGATACAAACCTCCTTTGTTTTGTTATGGAAGTTGTCCTTGAAAAATACTAGTTAGCATAAGAAAAACTTCATTTGGATAATGAGGCAGTAAGGTTTGTATCAAAACAAGGTCAACTCCAGATTCGCTTCCATCCATAACTGTAAAATGGCCTATTTTTACAGCGGAGCTCCACGCGCATGTCCGAAGCCCCTTTTGGTAGTCACGTGACCGTACGTCCGTCCACCCGTCTGTCTGCACCACAGGGCATCCAATGTGATTCCAGGATTCTTTGTCAGTGGAACTTGGATTCCGGATTCAAAGCGCTTTTGGAATTCCGAATTCCCCAAGCAAAACTTTCCTGGATTCTGAATCCAGATTCCCTCACATAGGGCGAGCAGTTATTCTCGATAGACACTCTTAAAACGCAAAAGAACTGAAAAAAATAGGGCGATAATTTTTAAAAAAAAGCACTAACCCTTCAAGAGATTTACCAATAACAAGATCGCACAGCTTTCCAAAAGCTTCGTGATCACCATCAAATTCAGCCATCTCGGTACCAAACTTTGTCCACAGAAGGTCAGACGAGTTCTGCTCTACCAGGCGGAAAAGGCTTTCGTCTCGAATCACTGCCA